GTTCTTTTGAGCTTTCCATTCATCAAAAAATCCTGGAAAAAGATGTATCACAGTTTCCACAAAAATATTAAGCAGCACAACTGTTTTCGAAATTGATAATAAATAAGAAATGAGTTTCTTGAGTACCAAATCAGCATATTAGAATGATTTCTAAAGGTTTATGTGACACTAAAGACTGGAGTAATGGCTGGCGAAAATTCAGCTTTGTCAACACAAGAATAAATTACATTTGAGAATATGTTAAAATACAAACTATAGATATTTTAAATTGTGATAATATTTCACAATATTACTCTATTTACTGTATTTTTGATAAATGCAGCCTTGGTGAGCATAAGACCCTTCTTTCATTTTAAAAAACATTTTAAAATCTTGCCAACCCCAAACTTTTGAATGATACTTTACAGTTCATGGTTTGTGGGATATTGACTCTTGACATTGTTTTTTTCCCCTGATTTAGCAGCATAAAATTGGTTTATGGTTTATACTTGCAACCATTTTCTCCTTCGGAAGACTTATGATTTTTTCTAATGTATTTGTCCTGCCTTGAAACAGTTGCTTGCCCGTATTGAGCGGATGGAGCGCCGTTTGCAGTTGTTAAGTAAGGAACCACGTGACAAGAGGCTCTTCCAGCCACTAGAAAGATGGGTTCCTGAAACAGATGACTTTTGGGAATCACATTTGGGTGACAGCCCTCAAACTCAGGCATCTAAGTCAAGTGGCAAAGTGCAAAAGAGGTAAGACTGGGAAATACTCCTGTTAGTCACTCTTTCCTGTTATTTTTCTCTTCTGTCTTCTTGTGGCTTCTGCTTGACTGTTGTGACCTGTAAATACTCTGCCTAGGAAGTTCAACTTGTTAGATGCAAAGAATCAGAGGTCAAGGGGTAAGACCTCAAAAATGATCCCCCAAAAATTAGAGACAGGAGGGACATCACCATGTCAGCGTGACCTACGAAACAAGGAGACCCCAGAGAAGACAAATGTTGTTAAGTCATCTGGGCAAATGGACCCGCAGCCAGAGGGAGAAGACAGCAAAGAAACGGAAGATCTTCCGTTCATGACAACAACTGAGATGTACCTATGCTGCTGGCAGCAACCTCCAGCCTCTCCATTACGGGAAGAGTCTCCAAAGAAGGAAGAGGATGTTGCAAGTATGTGCTTGGCTCAAATGCAAAATGGCAGTTGTAAACATTGATTTACAAATTGTAATACAAAAACTATTTCCTCAGTCCCATCATGGAGGGAAAGCACCATGGAACCCCTTCAGGAGGAAGATGCTGTTGACATCCCTGAAGTAAGAGTCATCATTTGCATCATATATGCATTATACATAAATCCAAAATTAAAATTTTGTCATCATTTACTCACTTCACTCATGTTGTTCCAAACCTGTATAAATTTATTTTTTTCTGTTGAACACAGAAAGAGATATTTTGAAGAATGTTGGTAACCAAACAATTGATGGTAGCTATTGATGTCCATGGTATTTTTTTCAATGGTTACCAGAAACCTTTTGGTTACCAACATTCTTCAAAATATATTTTGTTCAAAAGAAAAAATAAACAACTTGAGAGTGAGTAAATGATGACAAAATTTAGATTTTTGGATGAACTATTCATTTAATTATGAGGCCAATTGTCATTTGTCCATCTTTTTTTCCTTAGAGTCTTGATGACAGTGTTTTTCTGAAGCGGCACGCAAAGTTAGAACTGGATGAGAAGAGACGAAAAAGGTGAGATTTATTTTTAAAGGATTGTTTTCCTGATCTGTGTTTGTGGCATCAACCCATTTTTAACCCTTTTGTTTTAGTTTTTTTTCATGCACATGAGAACCATTCAAATGTTGAAGGTTTTGAAATCTCTTGTGCTTACCAAGACTACAGTAAAAACATTAATATTGTGAAATATTATTACAATTTAAAAGAAACTGTTGTCTGTTTTAACAAAGTTTGAAATGTAATTCAAATGATCCAAATTTCTGTGATGGGTTTTCAGCAGCCATTACTCTAGCGTTCAGTGTCATGATCCTTGCATGACGTGAATTATGAGTTATATTGTGATATTTACTTGAGACTAAAATTAATCGATATTCGGCTTACTTAATACCTACTTAAATATATGCATATATAATAATAAAGATATCAGTTCCAGCTTGTGGTTAAATGAGTTCCCTTAACCGATTAAAATTTTATGGCAAGTTTTCTTCACAACAAATATAGTAATATACTTCAGATGAATAACTTTCATTAAAATGTCACTGTTTATATACAGTTATTAACTGCCTGAAACAACACTTGCTTTTAATTTTCTTGCTTTCTTCTGTTAGATGGGACATTCAGAGAATACGTGAACAGCGTATGCTTCAAAGACTGCAGCAGCGCATGGAGAAGAAAAAGACAAATGTTCAGGAGAGCGAGCCAGAATTGTCCTCGTTTTATCCTGATGTGGACAATGGTATGTCTCCTAGATTCATTTCATAAAATATTATTTTTGTATTGTATTTATGAACAAAAAGCTGTTATCATATTATATACCATAATTTCTCAGATGTCCTTTTTTCTCCTTTCTTTCCTCTTGTACAGTGGAGGCCATCATGGTAACACCCTTTCTGCCAGTAGTGGCATTTGGTCGGCCTTTGCCCAGTTTGCCTCAACAGTAAGGGCATTCTTTTCATTTTGAAATATCTCCCGATTAACAGATAAGTGCTTTTAAATACTGTTGTAAGTGTCATATAACAATCATTTGCTGTCTGCCAGAAACTTTGAGCTGCCCTGGCTTGACGAAAGAAGTCGATGTCGCATTGAAAACCAGAAGAAACAAACTCCCCACAGGACCTGTCGGAAATGAGTTGCACATATTCTTGCTATGTGTCCGAGTTGAGCACCACACAGAGGAATGCTACTTCATGTCCTGTGCCAGAACATGGGGTTGAAGGAGGCAAAGCAGGGTTTGTTCAGTCAGGTGACAGAATATTAGCTCATCATAACAGTTTTGTGTCCACCTGCCTTCTGCTCGCACAGAGACTGTTTAGGCGAGAAAGAAATGGCAGCATTGCAGCTGTGTATTCATTTTATTGTGCCCTGATAATAAAGCACTAACTGCCCGGCTAACTGCTATTTTAGTTCCCTCACAGTCAGTGTGTGGCCTTGATTAAATCCTTTTCTTGTAGTCCTGTTCTGTGTACTTTTACTGAGGCTAAGTGATATTGATTATTGCAGGCTCCACTGCAAATGCTGTTTTAATGTGCACTAAACTGTGGTTATGGAGTACTGCTGCACATTTGCATGTAATGCCTCAATATTTGTGTTGAGAATGACTTTAAAGAGCTTGTTTTGTTTTTGCAAATGTAATTGTGCATGAATGTCTTGCTAAATCTTATGCCTAAAAATGTACATATTTTTGTAAGCATAGTGTAGTTGTTTAGAGGGAAAGAAATTGTCAGGATTAGAGTAAGGATGCTAAAATGTGTAGATGAATGCCCCGATGTAAAAGAGTAAGTATGAATTGTGTGTATGGCCATTCTAGTGTCTCTGAAAATGTTCAGCATCCCATGCAGGTTTAAAGACAATGCCCTTAACGTTATTTTTGGATCAGTTAGTTGGTCTGTTGATGTTGTTTTTGTTGTACCTCAACTTTCTTATTGAAAATCCATTTATTTTACACCTCCATTTTCTTAAAACCTTATCCATGTCCAGAAGTGTTGCTAGTCATTATTCAGTTTGCATAAATTCTGTGTCTCGTGGGATTTATTTCTGGGCATTTCCTAAAGATATTCTTGTTCTTGTTAAAAGTGATAACCTGATTTTGTGTGTAAATGTGTTGATTTTGTGAGCACCACACAAGGTTTTGATTTTTTTTCCTGAATGTCTACAACTGGACCTCTGTAAATATCTCTAATGAGACACATTGGCTGTAAATAAGGAAAACATTGCTGTTATTTTTTTATTTAATGTCAGAAAAGTGTTGTTTGTTCAGCATAGATATTATATTGATAGCATTATTTACAAAATTTTTGTTTTTCAAAAAAAATAAAAACTCACTTTGTGATTTCCTAATTGACACTCAGTTTTTAATTAATGTCTTATGGGTTCATATTTGTTCTTACTGTAGTGTTTATTTTATTTTTTTCTTTCAAATCCCTTGATTCGGCAGCTTAGCATTACAAAGATGTGATTTGGTCAAGATTGTGAAAACAGATTACATTTATTCCAAGACTAAAGATTTAACTATTTTGTGTTTTTCAAATATTATATAAATAATACAGTTTAATCTTGTGTTTGTATACAAGTCAATTTGGGGGTAAATTAATTGTAATGTTTTTTTTCTTAATTTGGTGAAATGCACAAACTACTTTGTGAGAATTACCCATGCATCCATGCAACAGTATATGTGACGGCCACTGTAAAACAAGTGTAACACCATATATCACAGAACACACTCTTTCACTTCATAGTAAGTGTGAAAAAGGTTTATTGAACCACAAAAAAAAAATTACAAAAATAAGAAATCATTTTTCAAAATATACCACCTCTTGATTCACCATGAGATAAATACACTAATATTTCATTTTTAAATTTCAATAAGTCTTTAGATTATTTTCTGACAAAACGAGCTTTGGAAAACTGCCTCCAATATTTTTTGTTTTAATTAAATCACCAAAGTTATTGTGAGATGTTGCCTTGCACAAACTTTAGAGTTTATGAAAGTTTATGGTTTACTGAACAGGCCTGGATAAATAGAGATTCAATCACTTTGAGAAAAAAACTACATAAACCACCACATTTGTTATATGTAGGTATTTACTACTAAAAGATCAAGATGAATATATTATTAGAAGATCATGATAGTATAATAGCACAGGTATTTTAAAGGTAATTCTCTGATGTACCCTTGTATGAACAGATTGAAAACTGGAGTGACTCCATTTTGGACTATTTATATAAAAGATTAGTATCAGAATCTATGTTTGTTATAATTAAAAGATGATGTGTGATAAACCAGTTTTTATAGTAATGAAATATTTAGTGTTAAGGTTTCCTCAAAAGATCAAGTTGGAATCTCGGGGTAACAGATTCTTTTGTTGATTTTATTTCCTTTAAAAAGGATTTATCTAAACAGAAGGCTTGAGATCAGTCTGATGCATTGCATCTTCATTTGGGTTACGTGTTTGGTAACATTTCTACAGCACATCATAAAAGGAGACAGAAAAACAAAAAGGACACATTAAAGCGTCTAATGTCAGGGGGGAAAAAACAGCATTCACATCCTCCCTCTTTTCTTTGAATCAGTCTACATTTTAGTGAAGCAACCTTTGCGCAAACAGTTCCGAATCAAAACCTTTACTTGAAGTCCTTTCATTCTCAGTCTCTCCTGAGGTTGTTCAGCCTCTCCTCCAAGTCAGCATCAGCATCTGCCAGCGTAGCCTGTGGTTCAGCCTTCTTCCCAGTCGCAACCGAGAGATTTCCTCCAGTAGAAGGCAGGTCTGTTTGAATTAAATAACAGGGGTAATATAAGAACGGCATAGGGTGTAATTTTATGGCATGGTAACGGTGGTGTCTTTTTTGCTTACTTGAAAGTTCGTCAGAAAGATTCAAACCCAGCTCATCCAGAACTTGAGAAACCACAGCATCACTACATTCAAAGCAAAAGGAGTGCATGTCAGCATATAAATTATTATTATTATCAATGTTGAAAACAGTTGTTATGCTTTATATTTCTGTGGAAACCATGATTTTTTTCAGAATTCTCTGATAAACAGAAAGTTCAAAAGAACAGCGTTTAAATCAAACAGAAATCTAAAATTATAATTATAAATGTCTTTACTGTCACTTTTGATCAATGCATTCTTGCTGAATAAAAGTGGAATAAATTAATAAATAAATACACACACACACATTTTTTTTTCTCACCTCTCCTCTTCATCGTCTTCATCCCCCATTGCATCATCAATTGCATCATTCATCATCTCCTCCTTCATGTCCATGATTTCACTTTGGCGCTCAAACTCCATCATGATCTTCTGAATCTGTGGCAACTTCAACTGCATTGAGAGGAAAAGCAATACACATCAACAAATGCATATCAACAATTCTGATATTAATTTGAAAGTGGCTTGGTCAAATCCTTACAAATTTTTTATTTTGAATAAATTTAAAGAGGTACATTTCAAAATACCATTAAAAAATATATTTTTGTTTTCTTTTAAAATACTTTTAAATTTTACCCATGTAAATTAGCTCTTTCTAAATTCATGGACGTGGACAATAATTGCATTTTCAATAATTGCATTTTTGCATTTTTTCATGAGGAAGACTTGTCATTTTTTTTTATAATTGTGATTTGTCTTTTAGATTTTTGTATGTTGTTAGTGCCTTTTTATTTGTTCAAAGAAATGTTAATTACATGCTCTCTTTAAAAGATGTTATTTGCACTTATTCAGACAAAAGCAAAATGATTGAGTATGTCGTTAACTTTTACATTTTGAAAGGTAAAATATTACATATTGTAATTTATTTTTATTAGAAATGGAATCTTTGAATGAGTCTCTAATGCAAATGAATAACAAAAAGAATGACATACTGTTCAATTTCATGGAGGATTTTTTTCAATTCACATCAACAAATGCATATCAACAAGCTACCAGTCGGCTAGAGAAACAGAAATTGAAAATGCTATAGCACATATACCTGTCTGTTCATGGTGGCCATAGCTTTGGTGACTCCTTTCATGGCCTGCGCCATGCTGTTGTTTGATTTGAGGGTTTGGATTTTAAGGCTGACAGCTTGAATATTGGCTCTCATCATGATGAATTTCTTGACGTATCGTCTTGTGCGCACCAAGTCCTTGGCCATGATCTTCACAGCATCCTGTCGGACAAAGAACATTACTTGCACTCAAGTGAGACTTCACAGACCTGGTAGTGACATTAAAGACCTGAATGTCAAATTAAAACTCTCCTCACCATCTGTCCTTGTTTGGCCATTTTCTTAATGTCAGCGATTATTTTCTTTTCCTGTTGTTCCAGTCTCTGGCGTTCTCTGTCTAGATCTCTCATTGCTCTATTTAGCGCTCTCTGATTCTGCCTGAGCATCTCCTCCGGAGTCTTTCTTCTTCCAAACAGGAACTCCATCTGACATGAAAAAAAAAGATAAAAGAGGAAAAAAAGACCAGACTGTGAGAAGTTTGAAGGAAAATTTGAAGGGTTTCCATAATCTGCTAAAAGTCCAAATGGGACTACAGAAAGTAATTCAGATTTCCACATGCGATTTGATGACGGTGACTCTCAGTCACGTGATGCCATGGCATCACTGTTTGCAGGTATGTCATATGGGACTGTGAACAAGTGGTTTCTACAGCTACTGGCAAATTAAAATATTTTACACGCTATGAATCCAGTGACATCACCCCTGCTCTAATAGCTGTCATATTGTTCTCTTCCTTCTCATATTGAGCACACCCTAATACTGAGCTTATATATGTGTTATATGTTCTCAATGACAATGAACTGGGGCCAATTAGCACAATAAACACTGAAACTTGCTCGAAACACTCAAAAGGACGACGATAATTCAGACTGAAACTTTGAAAAATAACATGTTAAATGATTATTCGTTTGTAAAATGACCAAGACCGTTCTCAAATAATAATAATAATAATAATAAGATCAGTTGCTAAAATTAGCTCAGGAAAATACAAAAAACCCGGAGGCCTATATCGTTCTCATTTTTACCTTGACTTTTCTTTATGTGGAAAACGTCCACCAGAGATACCAGAAGCTAAACAGGCCAAATATCACGCCGTCGTTTGTTTCTTCTACACCTTATTTAAAGTTAGAGTTCGTCGATCCACCGGATTGTTTTCTCCACTCTAACTTTTTCCGCATATGAATGTCAATACTTCCTTTGTATAGGTCTACGTCACAGGAAACGCGTCATACAATACTTTCCTTCCACAAACAACAGGGACATTTATTCCAGGAAAGCAAAAAATTCTGATATTAATTTGAAAGTGGCTTGGTCAAATCCTTACAAATTTTTTATTTTGAATAAATTTAAAGAGGTACATTTCAAAATACCATTAAAAAATATATTTTTGTTTTATTTTAAAATACTTTTAAATTTTACCCATGTAAAGTAGCTCTTTCTAAATTCATGGACATGGACAATAATTGCATTTTCAATAATTGCATTTTTGCATTTTTTCATGAGGAAGACTTGTCATTTTTTTTTATAATTGTGATTTGTCTTTTAGATTTTTGTATGTTGTTAGTGCCTTTTTATTTGTTCAAAGAAATGTTAATTACATGCTCTCTTTAAAAGATGTTATTTGCACTTATTCAGACAAAAGCAAAACGATTGAGTATGTCGTTAACTTTTACATTTTGAAAGGTAAAATATTACATATTGTAATTTATTTTTATTAGAAATGGAATCTTTGAATGAGTCTCTAATGCAAATGAATAACAAAAAGAATGACATACTGTTCAATTTCATGGAGGATTTTTTTTCTTGTATAGTTCCCCCACTGTAGTCCCTGATTTTGTCCTTAGGAAGAAGGAAGATAATTTGAACTATTGTGAAGTTGTTTATATGTATGTTTATTATTATTATTATTATTACTTTATTTTATTTTTTCTTTCTCTCTTCTCTTAAATGCTGACAGATTAAGATTGTTCTTCTTTCTTGTGTATGTGGAATTAATTGTTTAAATTGATTGTAATGTTCAATCATTTCTTCTATAAAAAAGGGGACATTTATGACTCATTTACTTTTTATTAGAATTCTGTATTGTTGTTGTATTTCATCAAAATAGGTATTCGGCACTGTATTGTTTGGTATTGTTCTTCTTAAACAGAAATATATTATATTATTTTATTTTATAGGTAAATGTCTTGAAATTATTGTTAAAATCTTTGTTTTGTTTAATAAATTTCATATTTGTAAGCAAAAAAATTGCATACGTAACC